GCAAGTTGTCCCATGACAAGGAAGAGGCACTAACTTACAGCTGTTCCATCTTCCATCTCCAGATGTTTGCTTGATGAAATTTGTGGTAAGCAGACTATTTGATATGGAAAGTAAAAACACAACAAAACAAAAATCCTTCTTCTGCCTGTCATTTGCTAATTCACTAACTCTCTTTATCTCTTTAACAATGAATGATGTTTGGCCTGGAGTGGTGGCTCACGCCTGTAATCCCAGCACTTTGGGAGACCAAAGCGGGCGGATCACGAGGTCAGGAGACAGAGACCATCCTGGCCAACATGGTGAAACCCTGTCTCTACTAAAAATACAAAAATTAGCTGGGTGTCGTGACTTGTGCTTGTAATCCCAGTTACTCGGGAGGCTAAGGCACAAGAATCCCCTGAACCCAGAAAGCGGAGGTTGCAGTGAGCCAAGATTTCGCACCACTGCACTCCAGTCTGGCGACAGAGCGATACTCCATCTTGAAAAAAAAAAATGATGTTCGTAAATGCTCATAGGGAGACTATTAGGACTTAAACACTGCCTATTGACATTGTAATAGTCATATTTACAGGGCTCTGCTGTGCACATAAATCGGGCATGATTTTAAAGTCAGACATAATTTACTGTATAATGTCTGCTAGTAAATTTGAGCATATGATGATCTCAAATGTGTCTTGTCAGAAAGCAAGCCATTCAGCTGCAAGAAACATGCGGTATCTATAAATAAAGGCTCCCACCTTTGCATCAAGATGAATCTCCATGATAATTTCCTTTCCTCTGGCTTCTCTCCTATTGTGAGTGGGGAGCCTTCTGGGAAGAAGGGTAGAAGCTTGGCTTTAGTTCTCCAAGATTCACAACCACATACCATATTGAATGGAGTGCTCACAAAACTGAACTTTCTACCTGTCCAAAGATACCTGTCAAGTTTGTTTTTTTTTTTTTTAAATTTCATTTTTTTAAGTTCTGCATTCTCTGGAGTTGAAAGGGGGATCTTTTTGCTGCTTTTTGGTCTTTTGCTTTCTTTCTTCAATAATTTCAACCTATAAAAATTGACTTGAATATTAGGTTTGATCCAACAAGAAATATCAACACCTGGCAACAGCTTCTTTCTGAAATTCTCTTTTCCAGGACTGGGAGTACAGAGATGTATTAGAGATTTTCTATAAGTGGTCTTTTCTCTTTTTAAACTTGGGGAAAGTCAATTCTTAAATCTGCAGATAAAAGCCTTAAGGTCCACTTCTCCCCCTGGCAATTTATATTTAAAACAACTTCAGATCCCACATAGGTTGGCTCATATTTAGATGCAGAGAATGGCTCATATTTAGAGGTTGAGAAACACTAAAGTGAAACACCCTCAATCACATCATTGTTCCCTTGCATGGGAGAGTTCAGAGAAATCAAGTCCTCTGGCAGATTGTAACAAAAAGTATGTTACAATTCTCAAATTTAAAAGATTTCTTTGGACAGAAGTTTCTCTTTACAGGAACATTGAATTGTTTTTTTCCCCCTTTTATGTCTTTAGAATACTTTGTCCACTTTGGTAATCTTCCAATCTGGTTATTTGGGTTTACCTGCGGGGAAGTCAGAAGGACTAGTATTTTGCAAACCACTTAAAACCGCCATTGAAATGGCATCCAGTCAAGAACATTCTGCCTTGAAACTGGCAGCCCCAATTCTACCTCCAGCTCATAGTGTGACCTTGGGAGTCTCCTTTTTCTGAGTTTCATTTTCCTTCTCAGAAAAATGCTGAGATTAGATTAATCCTCCATTTCCAGCCCTCCACAGGGCATTTTGTCAGATGGCAAATCAGGAAGGGGAGATGTCATGGATGGTCATTAACGGTGGCTTTGCACTGCATTGATCACACTAACCACATGTCACTTCATCTCTGGACAGGGACTTCCTGCGGCTCTTTAAAAACCTGGGGTACTTGTTTTATGGCCTTTCAGGAGCCTCAATCTTAAAATACATGAATATCTAGATTGTTTCTTCCTTCAGCAGTAACATATCTGGTGTTTGTAGTACACTTTCAATTTATAAAGAATTTTCTGATTTGGTGTCTCGTTTAATCAAATGCTCATACTACTGTCACTTGAAGAAGGTGTATAGAAAAGACATCTGCACACCTACCCAAAAGCTCTTAGAACTATCACTGAAAATTCTCAGCAGGCATGCAGGTGGGCTGGCAGTCCATCCCTCCCTCCCTCTTTCCCTCCTTCCCTCCTTCCCTCCTTCC